AAACAAAAGGACTATTTCCCTATTCATTTCACAAGGCAAAGTTACTCTTAATGCCTAAACCACGTAAAGCCCCAACAAAGAAACAGAATAACAGAATAATTTCCTTTATGAACTTAGATGCAAAAATTCTCAATCTAAGCCAGGCGGTGGTGGCTCACGCCTTTAATCCCAGCACTCGGGAGGCAGAGCCAGGAGGATCTCTGTGAGTTCGAGGCCAGCCTGGGCTACCAAGTGAGTTCCAGGAAAGGCGCAAAGCTACACAGAGCAACCCTGTCTCGAAAAACCAAAAAAAAAAAAAAATTCTCAATCTAGTACTTGCAAACAGAATCCAAGAACACATCAAAAAGATTGTCTTCTACGTAGGCTTCATCCCAATGATTCAGTGAGGTTCAACATACATAAACTGATAAATGTAATCTACCATGTAAACAGACTGAAAGACTTGTATGATAAAAACTTTAAGACATTGAACAAAGAAATTGAAGAAGATATCAGAAGATGGAAAGATCTCCCAGGCTCATGGGTCAGTAGAATTAATGCAGTAAAAATGGCCATGATACCAAAAGCAATCTACAAATTTAATGCAATTCTCATGAAAATTCTAACACGATTCCTCACAAAACTTGAAAGGACAATTTTCATCTTCATATGGAACCACACACACCCCACACAAAAATGCAGGAGAGTTAAAACAATCCTGAATGGTAAAGGAACTGCTGAAAGTATCAACATTTCTAATCTCAAATTGTACTTCAGAGCTATAGCAATAAAAAACAGCATGGTATTGGCACATGAACAGATATATTGATCTGTGAAATCAAATTGAAGATCCATGAAAAAGTTCATACACCTATGGCCATCTGATTTTTTATAAAGAAGCCAGAAATGCACACTGGAAAAAAGACAGCATCTTCAACAAATGGTGCTGGTCAGATTGAACAACTGTGTATAGAAGAATGTAACTAGATCCATACCTAGCACCCTGAAAAAAACCTCAACTCCAAATGGATCAAAGACCTCAACCTAAGGCCAGAATCTGAATGAAGAAAAAGTGAGGAATATTCTTTAACTCGTTGGCACAGGAAAAGACTTCCTGAACAAGTCATCAATAGCACAGGCATTATGAACAACAATTTAAAAATGGGACCTCATGAAGCTGAAAATCTACTGTATGGCAAAAGGACACCATCATTTAGGAAAAGCATTAGGCTACAGAATGGGAAAATATTTTTACCAACTACACATTTGATAGAGGGCTAATATCCAAAATATGTAAAGACCTAAAAACAAACAAACAAACAAACCTAGACATTAAGTAAATAAGTAACCTAATTAAAAATGGGGTACAGATCTAAACAGAGAATCCTCAAAAGAGGAAACTCAAGTGACTGAGAAACACTTATAGAAATGTTCAACATTCTTAGTCAGGAGGGAAATACAAATCAAAACTACTTTGAAATTTCCTCCTACACTAGTCAGAATGGCCAAGATCAATAAAACAAATGACAGCTCATGCTGGCAAGGATGTGGGGTAAATAGAACACTCCTCCACTGCTGGTGGGAGTGCAAACTTGTACAGTCACTGTGGAAATCAGTGTGGCTGTTCCTCAGGAAGCTGAGAATAGATCTACCTCAAGATCTAGGTATACCACTCTTGGGGATCTACCCAAAAGACTCTACATCCTACTACAGAGACACTTGCTCATCCTTGCTCATTTTGGCTCTATTCATAATAACCAGAAACTGGAGACAGCCTAGATGTCTGCCAGTGGATGAACGGACCTAAAAAATGTGGTACATTTACACAGTGGAATATTAATCAGCCATTAAAAAATGAAATCATCTCCCATTTGGGGGATGAGAACATGAGGGAATGGGATGGTTGAGCTGGGGGATGGACAGAGTGGGAGAGCAATGAAAGAGATATCTTGATAGAGGGAGACATTATGGAGCTAGGGAGAAACCTGGTGCTAGGAAAATTCCCAGGAATCCACAAGGATGATCCCAACTTAGACCACAAGCAGATGCAGAGATCCACAGCCAAACACCAGGCCAAGCTCCGGGAGTCCAGCTGAATAGAGGAAAGAGGGATTATATGAGCAAGGGGATCAAGATCATGATGGGAAATCTACAGAGACAACTGAACCAAGTTCGTGGGAACTCATGAACTCTAGACTAACAGCTGTGGAGCCTCCACGGGACTGGACTAGGCCCTCTGCATAAGTAAGACAGTTGTGTAGCTTGGTCTGTTTGGGGGGGCCCTGGCAGTAGGATCAGGATCTATTCCTAGTCCATGAGCTGGCTTTTTGGATCCCATTACCTATGGTGGGACACCTTGCTCAGCCTTGATGCAGGGGGGAGGGGCTTGGTCCTGCCTCAACTGAATGTACCAGGCTCTGCTGACTCCCCATGGGAGACCTTACCCTTTAGGAAGAGGGGATGGAGGGGGTGGAGAGTCGGGAGGGAAGGCTTGGGGGAGCAGGAGGAGGAATGAGAGGGGGAACCTGTGGTTGGTATGTAAAATGAATAAAAAAATTTCTTAAATAAAAAAATGAAATTTGCAGGCAAACGGATAAAACTAGAAAAAAACAAATCCCAAGTGAGGTAACTCACTCAGAAAGACAAATATGGTGTGTGCTCACTTTTATGTGGATGTTAGCTCTTATGTAAGACGAAAGTTGGTAAAGTGGTAAGCAAGTTACAATCCACAGAACCACAGAGGTTAGGTAGAGGGTAAGGGACTAGGGGGAAGAGACGGATCTTTCCAGAAAGGGGAAAAAGAATAGATACGTATGGATGGGTGGGGTCAGGTGGGGACTAGCAAACAGGGAGCTGGAGGGAAGAGGGTACAGGGAGGGACAGCTAAAGCTGAGGGCCATTTGAAGGGTCATATGGGAACCTAATACAGCAGAAGCTTCCTATATATTTAAGGTGATCTAAATGAAACAGCCACATAAAAGAAGAGACAGAGCCCCTACTGCACATCTCTCCTCACGAAGTACTGGGGATGGGTTACATAAAATCGAGACGTTGGTGGAAACCCCCAACAACCCTGTTATTGCTAAGGCTACTGTTCACTCTCCACAGACTGACGGTGAGGCCCTGTCACTGAAGACAACACCTACACGGCTCACCATACACGGCAAAGTAGAGCTGGTGCCTCCCCAGAGCCTTCGTCTCTGTGGACCAGTATTCGTAGTACTGTAAGGTAGTCTGCATGCTACCAAAGGTAAACACCAACCCAGCTACAAATGCTTCAATCTACAAAAGTGACCCGCCTGCAAAATATGCTGGTTCAATAATGTCAGGAAGCCTGTGGGGGTAACTGAAGGGAGCATGGCAAACATGGCTCTGGCAGGCCTTGCCCTTCTCCCCCATGCCCTCTGCCTTGCTAAAAACAGTTAGATTACATTCCTAAAGCTAGCCACCAATGTCTATTCCCTTATTTGGCCACTACCTCCTCCTCAGGCTGTCTACCAAAGTCCAGCTATCAAAGTATTGAAGTCCAGCAATCCAAAGTCCCTTTTTGGCTACCTAATTAAATGCTCAATTTAAATTAAACACCTCATCCTAACATGGGGTTTCCCTTTTTACATTTATAAACTGTCCTTTGTCTGTTGGCCATGTCTGTCTCCTCTGTATCCAGAGGCAGTCCTTTGTCCCCCCAGGACAAATACCCCTGCCCCATCTCCCTTGTTCCCACCCCCTTCTCCCTCACCCTCTGTCTCCTGTCTTTGTCTCTTATTCCCAGCATTTTGTCCCTCTGGGGCAAATAAATCACCTTTGTGCTGAGAACTTGGTCTTGGGATGTTCTGAGCTGATACCAGTTCCTACAGTAACCAACCAATGTCTGATGTGAGTTAAGGCCCACTCCATGAGATGGAACCCATACCTGACACCACTTGAGTGGCCAAGAACCTGAGACTAGATAGTTCAGGGACTAGTGAAAAAAATAAGTACTACTGTTCTGCTAAAGGAACATAGCAATAAAATGACTCCTAACAACTTCCTGCTACACTCAGAGATGCCTTGCTCAGCCCTCATCAGAGAAGCTTCCTTCTGCAGGAGATGGAAACAAATACAGAGACCCACAACTGGACAATGTGCCGAGAGTGAGAGACCTTGGAACACTCAGTCCTAAATGGGACGTCTCCATCAAAACCCTCCCCTCAGGGCTCAGGGAAGTCTGGAAGAGGAAGCAGAAAGAGTTAAGAGCCAGAGGAGATAGTGGACACTAAGGAATCAAGGCCTTCTAGACATAGCAGGGCTGGTATACATATGAACTCACAGACTGAGGCAGCATGCACAGGGCCTGCATGGGTCTGCACCAGATGGGGTCCTACAGCTGAGAGAAGTGGACACATGCCCCCATCCCTAATCCATGAGCTATCTCCAATTGATAGCCACTTGCAAATGAAAAAGTAGTTTTCTTCCAGGGAGGAAACAAACCACTCTTAAGGGTAGGCCCCATGTGCAGCAGTAGATGGCCAACAGATAATGAGCTCGTGGGTGTCTTTGGAGGTTCTTTGTCTTATAATGTTAAATCAAGGCATTAAAAAAAACAACTTTATAGGTATTTTGCATATACGTTATGGCTTCTAGTTTGGGGTTTTCATGGAATTCCTGTGTGTGTGTGTGTGAACATGTGTGCGTTTGTGTGTGTGTGTGTGTGTGTGTGTGTGTGTGTGTGTGAACACATATGTCTCTGTGTTTATAAGCATTTCTTGTGCTTTTTTTTTCCCCCTCTTTTTCTTGTTTGGTTGTTTTTTCATACTCTGATTTGTTTGATTTTAATTTCTCTTACTTTATTATTATTTCTCAGATGCTTGTTTGTTTTCTAAGGAGAAACAGAAAGGGTGTGGATCCAAACGGGAGGGGAAGAGGGAGGAAGTGGGAGGAGTAGGGGGAGGGGAATCCATGATCAGAACATATTGTATGGAAAAAACTATTGTCTTTTTTTTTCATTTTAATTAATTTATTTATTTTTCTATTATCAGCTTGATACAGTACAAATTCTTATCCTAATAGTGAAATGTTTCATTGAGGCTTGCCCAGTAATTGAGTAAAACCAAAACTTATTATAAGCCACAGTCATCCTAGGGTCCCCCCTGCTATACAGCTCCCCCAGTTCTGTGGGTTGCAGTCTGATTGTTCTTTGCTTTATATCTAGTATCCAATTATGAGTGAGTATATACCATGTTTGTCTTTCTGAATCTGGGTTACCTCACTCAGGATGATTTTTTTCTAGTTCTTTCCATTTGCCTGCAAATTTCATGCTGTCATTGTTTTTGTCTGCTGAGTAGTACTCCATTGTGTATATGTACCACATTTTCTTAATCCATTTTCAGTTGACGGCCACCTTTGTCCAAACCTGCCAAGACCACCCATGCACCAACGTTTCACAACATTAACACAAGGCCCCTTCTCTCTATGTAGTCCTGGATGTCCTGGAGCTCTCTTTGTAGAATAGTCTGGCTGAATTCACAGAGATGCCTCTGCCTCCCAAGTGTTGAGATTAAAGGTGTGTGCCACCATGCCTGGCCAAGGCATTCCTTTCGTAAGGTCCATGGATGAAAGAATGGGTCAGGACACACTCTAGGGGAATCTTTCTGTTGTCTCCCCATCTGTAAAACAAAAGGAGATATATTGGAACTTCTTTCTCTCCAGCACGTCCTCTGGAGATACTTTGATGTGGAGGGGGCATGTGAGGACAGGGAGCTGTCATCTTCCAGACAGTCCAGCTGATGAAGACCCTGACTGTTCCTACCACCCCGTGCCTTCCCTCAGAGTTCACATGACAGCATTCTACCTCTTTTTTGTTTGTTTTTGTTTTTGGAGACAGGGTTTCTCTGTGTAGCCCTGGCTGTCCTGGAGCTCATTCTGTAGACCAGGCTGGTCTTGAACTCAGAGCTCCTCCTGCCTCTGCCTCCTGAGTGAAGGGATTAAATGCATGCACCACCACACGAGGTGAGAGCATTCTGCTTCTATTCTTGAGAACTCTAAGGAAGAGCAAGGACAAGCTTCCAGGAGACAGGTGGGTTTTAGAGAAACAGCTACTGGCCCTCAGGTGTACCAGCAGCCAATGAAGCTTTCCTATACAGACACAGAACTTTTCCTAGCTCAGTCATAGTGGCCTCTGTTTAAATTTGAGACACTTCCCACCTTGAACTCAAGGCAAGTGTGGCATCTGTAGTAGAATGTTATTTTAAGGTGTGTTACTTTTGCTTATGCTGCATTTGTTTAACTCTGTGAAGCTGTGTTACTGTGCCTGTCTAAAACAACTGATGGTCTAATAAAGAACTGAATGGCCAATAGCAAGGCAGGACAAAGGATAGTTGGGGCTGGCAGGCAGAGAGAATATAGAGAAGGAGAAATCTGGGAGGAAAAAGAAGTAGCCAGAGAAGGAGGAGGACTCCAGGGGCCAGCCACCCAGCTACACAGCAAGCCACGGAGTAAAAGTAACATTTTCAGAAGTAAGAGAATGGGAAAAGCCCAGAGGCAAAAGGTAGATGGAATTATTTAAAGTTAAGGAAAGCAGGCTAGAAATAATAAGCCTCCATGTATGAATTTATTTGGGAGCTGGGTGGCGGGCCCTCCAAAAGAGCAAATATATACAACAACAGGTATCTCTTCCTTTTCTCCAAATGGGAAAACTTAAGACTGCTTCGGGTTTGGCCTATGTGCTTGACTAGCTCAAGAAACAAAGCTGAGCAAATCTTCCCTTCACCGTGTCAATCTATAGTCAGGTGCCTACACTTTAGCTATTCATGGGTCAAGACCATGAGGATGGGAAGTAATTGAGCTGATGACCAACTGTCCCCAATCTGTCTTCCCTCACCCTTCTGCCCTGAGGAGACTATTGGTTCCTTGGGATCCAGTTGGCTGTGTTTCTTGGCTTAGGAGTGGCAGGCTTAGTTCTCACAGGTGGAATCTCTGTCCAGCCATCTAGCTGGCTGAGATAGAAATGTGCTGCTCTGCAGAAGCCAAATACTCTATTCTGCTTACTCCCGTGGAAGCTGGGTTTGATTGGGGATCCAGACTGTGCTAGACATTGTTGGAGTGTTCCCTCATTTGGATGGGGCCCTTGGAATGCAGGACTGTCAAGGCCACTTTGATGTCCTCAGGAATTTTCAGTACGGTATATGTAGGGATCTTCTCAAGTTCCAGATGAGAACAACCTCCCAAGAAACATAACAGGGTACTAGGTTTAGGTGGTCATCTAAATAATTGCTTAGCTGGTTCCATTGGCTAGACAAAGAATTGAATGTGACATGGAGGATCAAGCTGGGCCGGTTGGCAGATTGCCTTAAAGACTTTCCAGACTCCAGAGCATTAATTGGCTACTACATCCAGCGTTGTTCTGGAATGTCAGCTCTCCAAGAAAAGTCTTTACCTTGACTTCAAGGAAACGCCTCACCGTTCCAACAGCTATGAACTTACATTAAACCTATTGCTCGTCATGTCTGTGCCAAGACAGTCGTGCCAAATACAGTCTTCTCAAATGACCTTAAAAAATTAAGCTAATGGCGACTTGACGTCTCATGGAAGCCATTCCCGTCTCTGACCTGCCAGCAGGAGTTGATCCTGGCTGCGTGGGCCTCCATCTCATCCAGGAAACTTGGCAGGGAAGCATGTCTGTGCAGATTCTGTTGCCTCCTGCCCATCCTGTTCGTTCAGCAGGCACAGTCGTGCAACTAAGTTCCCAAGGAAGCAGGCTTCAAGTGCCTATCCATGTGTGTGGTGATGCCAGACACCAGCCCCATGGGGCACTTATTGTTGAAGGTGCTTGCTGAGCAAGCTTGAGGACCTGAGTTCAGATCTCCCGTCTCCACATTAAAAGGTGAAATGCAGTGGCGTGTCCCTGGAACCGCAGTGTCTGGGAGGGAAGAGACAAGAGGATCTGAGGAGTTGGTTGGCCAGGTGACCTAGCCAGTGAATGATCTCTAGGCTCTCAGAAATAAGATGGAGAACCACCGAGGAAGACAACGTTAGTCCTCCAGTACACGAGTGCATGTATACAAGTACGTGTGTGCACCCATATGACACACAACTGTCCGTACTTAGCAGGCCTGTTTTTTTTTTTTCTTTCTTGGAGCTGAGGACTGAACCCAGGGCCTTGCGCTTGCTAGGCAAGTGCTCTACCACTGAGCTAAATCCCCAGCCCCTTAGCCGGCCTTTCTATACAACAGATGTTGTTGGTTGTTTTTTACTCTTTGGCTTTTTGAGGGCCCACTATCCAGCTCCCCCAAAAAATCACACATGGAGGCTTATTTCTTATAAATGCCCAGCCATACCTTGGCTTATTTCTAGCCAGCTTTTCTTAAATTATCCCATCTACCTTTTTTTTTTTTTTTTGGTTTTTCGAGACAGGGTTTCTCTGTGTAGCTTTGCGCCTTTCCTGGAACTCGCTTTGGAGACCAGGCTGGCCTCGAACTCACAGAGATCCTCCTGGCTCTGCCTCCCGAGTGCTGGGATTAAAGGCGTGCGCCACCACAGCCCGGCTTCCCATCTACCTTTTGCCTTTAGGTTTTTTCCTTTTTTTACTTCTGTAATCTTCCACTCTCACTCCGTGACTGGCTGTGTGGCTGGATGGCTGGCCCCTTTTCTTGTTCCTTAATCTCTCTTGCTTCCTGATCCCTCTTTTTCTCCTTCTATTTATTCTCTCTGCCTGCCAGCCCCTCCTATCCTTCCTCATGCCTCGCTATTGGCCATTCAGCTCTTTAGTAGACCAATCAGGTGTTTCAGAGAGGCACAGTAACAGCTTCACAGACTTAAACAAATGCAACATAAAAGAATGCAAGACATCTTTGCATCATTAAAACAAATGTTCCACAGGATAAACAAATGTAACACATCTTAAAATAATATCTACAGCAACAGACATGACAGCAGGTACTTTCCATTTGTTATTTCAACTGTTTCTAGAATCTGAGATTAGTGACACACAGCTTTCATCCCAGCCCTTAGGCAGTAGAGGCAGGTGGATTTCTATGGGTTCAAGGCCAGCCTGATCTACATAACAAGTTCTAGGCCAGCCAAGTCTACATTGTATAAGACTCTGTCTTAAGAAACAAAAAGTCAATAGTTTCTACTACCTAGCTGCCAGAGGAGAATGATCCTTCTTATCTCATGTCATTGTTTCTGCCAGGTCGAAGAGGACACAGACTGTATTTTAAAAAATTGTCATGTGGCCAGGTGGTGATGGTGCACACCTTTAACCCCAACACTCGGGAGGCAGAGGCAGGTGGATCTCTGTGAGTTCAAGGCCGACTTGGTCTACAAAGTGATTTCCAGGACACCCAGGATTGTTATATAGAGAAAACTTGTCTTGGAAAACCAAAAAGCAAACAAAAATAAAAAAATCTGTTATGTATGTGTGCTCATGTACACACACATTTGAATGCATGTATGTATTTGTGTGTACATGTGAGTGTTTGGAGGGCTCTTGTGCCATGGGTTACTTCCATCTTGGGTTTCTTGGGATGGATCAAACTCTGGTAGTTGGGTTTGTGGGGCAAACACTGAGTCATCTCACCAGCCTACTAGATATGTATGTATGTATGTGTGTGTGTGTGTGTGTGTGTGTGTGTGTGTGTGTGTGTATGTGTGCGTGTATGTATGTATGTATGTGTGTATGTATGTATGTGTGTGTATGTATGTATGTATGTATGTATGTGTATGTATGTCATGAGAATGCATGGAGGCCAGTAGAAGGCATCTGGTGTCCGCCTCTGTCACTCTCTTCCTAGTCATTTTAGGTGGAGTCTATCTTTGAATCTGGCACTCCCATTTCCCCAGTTAGGCCAGCAGCCAACAAGTCCCAGCAATCCTCCTGTTTCTGCCCCCTTAGAATTGGGGTCATGAGGGCTGGAGAGATGGCTCAGCAGTTAAGAATTCTGTCTGCTCTTCCAAAGGTCCTGAGTTCAATTCCCAGCAACCACATGATGGCTCACAACCATCTGTAATGAGATCTGGTGCCCTCTTCTGGCCTGCAGGCAGAACAGTGTATACATAATAAATAAATAAATCTTAAAAAAAAAAAAAAAAAGAATTGGGGTCATGAACATTCAAGGGATTCCTGGCTTGTCATGTATGTGATGAGATCCGAACTCTTGTCCTAACCCTGAGTTCAAAAAGCACTACTGCCTGGCAGTCTGTCTCTCTAGCACTTCCCATACCATGTTTTAGCAGGAACTGCAGGAAGCAACATTTCAGTGTGTTGCAGATCCAGTGTTTGCACCCAACCCATGCCCGTGTGGTCTTGTCCAGAAAGGAGGGCTTTTGGGGAAGCCATTGGAAGAATTTATGTTTCCTGAGCAGGAAGAGGAAAGCAGGTGTTCAGATAAGACACTCGGTTGGGTAATGGCTAGGTTAAAAAATTTCCACTTACGTTAGGCTGGGGTTCAGTTGGTAGAGTAGTTAGCCTGGGATACATGGGACTCTGGGTTCAGTCCCTGCATAGTGGTGCCAGCCTGTAATCTCAACATGGCAAAGGAGAATCAGGAGCTGAAGGTCATCTTCTGCTATATAATAAAGTTCAGTCCTAGTCTGGGATTCATGAGATCCTGCCATAAAAGAAAGAAGAGAAATTCCGTGAATTTACTTGGGGGGCACATCCCTTTGTTAACTTCAAGCCCATGCTAAATTTACACGAATGTTCCACGTGCTTACATTAGAGAACTTGGTGTCAAAAAATGAAGAAAAAGCCAGGTGTTGTGTTTGCTTATAATCTCAGCACTTGGGAGATGAAGACAGGAGGTTCTGAGTTCATTGCTAGCCTGTGCTACATAGTGAATTTGAGGTTATTCTGGAGCACATGAAATTCTGTCTAAAACAAAAACAAACACACACAAAAATAAAAACTCAGAGGTTTTTTTTTTTTAAATGTGTGTGTGTGTGTGTGTGTGTGTGTGTGTGTGTGTGTGTGTGCCATGTGTGTTCAGGTGCCCTCTCAGAAGAAGGTGTCAGATCTCCTGGAGCAGGAATTAATGGTTGTAAGCCACCTGACATGGGTGCTGGGACCACAGCTGAATAACCTTGGAGTCATCTCCACTTCCCTGCTGTCTGTTCTTTGGTTAAGTGAACCAGACAGGGCAAAGCATTAGTAATCATGAGGGGGAATGAGAAGGACGTGGTAAAAGTGCTGGAGGGTAAAATCTTCACATTTCACCCCAGCCTAACCCCTCCCCAGTGCTGGGACTGAACTCGGGGCTTCTGGAATGCTAGGAGTGCTGGATCTCTAAACTGTACTCCTGAGACTGTTGCCTTCTCCTCCTCCCTCTTCTCCATTCTGCTTTTCATACGGCCCAGGCTGATCTCAAACTTGCTGTGTAGATGACATTGGCCTTGACCTCCTGCCTCCACCTGGAAGTGCCAGAATTTGAGTTGTGTGCCGCACACTCAGCCTTCTCTTGTTTGTTTATTTTTGAATCCCTCTAGCACAGGTTAGACTTGAACTCACATGTAGCTCAGGATGACCTCAAATTTGTCTCACTCTTCCTGCTTCCATTTTCTTTTTTTTTTTTTTTAATTTTTTTTATTTAGTGTCGAATGCCGTTTATTGAAGGAGGGAGGAGGTCTTAAATACAGGCTTACAGCACAGTGGGAGAACCCCGGAGGACAGAAGTTCACTAAGATGTTTTACAATCCTGCATCTAAGCTGTTAACGCCCATTATGCAAGATACACAGACAAGGAACTTCCCTTAAGCACTCAGGAGGGTGGAACCCGGTAGGGAATTAGCTTAGGGAGGATATCAATGTCAAGGTCAACAAGCAAGGCAACAGTTACCCAAAACGGGGGCCAGAGCCCTACACGTCCCCCTTTTACTAAAAAATGCCTGCTCCCATTTTCTAAGTGCTGTGATTGCATGGGCATGCTGCTGGCTGCACTGAACTTGGTTTTCATTTTGTAGCCAGGCATGCCTCGAACTCTTTTTTTTTTTTTTTTAGACTTTTTTAGACAGGGTTTCTCTATGTAGTTTTGGTGCTTATCCTGGATCTCACTCTGTAGACCAGGCTGGCCTCAAACTCATAGAAATCCGCTTGACTCTGCCTTCCGAGTGCTGGATCAAAGGCGTGCACCATTACCAACCTAGAGGCCTTGAATTCCTGATCCTTGTGCCTCCATCTCCTGAATGCTGGGGTTACAGGTCTCATCACAATTTGGTTGTAGTAGTTTTAAAAAAGAACTAATAGTTCTCAGAAACATTAGTAATTCCCCCCACCCCTGTTACATTTTAGTTTTCTGTCATTGTCTGTTGAAATGTAAGGAAAATGGAATTTAATACTGCTTATATGAAAATAGTTCAGGGGTGGTAGCTCATGACTATCGTCTCAGAATTTGGGAGACTGTGGGTAGCCAGTTTGAAGCCAGCCTGGCTTTGTAGTGAGTTGAGGCTAACTTGCTTAGAGTGTGAGACCATGTCTTGGAAACACTCATGGGGACCGGGAGCTGGCTTCGTGGTTAAGAGCACATGCTGAGCTTACAGAGGTCTCGGTTTTGGTTCCTGGTCCCCCATACAGTGGTTCATTCCTGTAATTCCTGTTACTAAGGATCACACACCCTCTTGTGACTTCTACAGCCATTGCATGTATGTGGTAAGCTTTCAAACATGCAGGCAGAATATGCATGCACATAAAATAAAATAAAGCTTTGAATAAGAGCATCAAACCCAGAAGGATGGTGAACTTAGCTGAACCTGCCTAGCAAATTCAGGGTTGTAGGTTTGGTCTCCAACGCCGAAAATAAGAGAGCTCATCTAATACAATTGATTTTTAAAATTTTTATTTATTTATTATTATTATTGTTGTTGTGGGGGGGGATGCATGTGTGTCTATGTGCACATGTAGAGGTATGGGGACAACTTTTTGGAGTGAGTTCTCTACCTACCTTCACCTTTATGTGGGTTTCAGGGATTGAACTCATGATGTCAGGCAACATGTCAGCAAGTACGTTGTGCGTTGTGTGCTGAACCATCTCAGTAGCCTAATATGATTTGTTTTGGGTCTCCCTGCCTCTGTGCACTCGTGTGTTTGTGTGTGTGCGTGGCGGGGGGGGGGGGGGTGCAGCATGTGCATATTCATGTAACAGTGCCTACTGTTGGGGATCAGAGGCCAATTTTGGGGAGGAGTTCTCTCCTTCCATCATGGGTTCCTAGGATTGAAGTATCTGGCTTTCTTTTATGAGACATGATCCTACTGCGCAGCCCATCCTGGCCTGAGAGGATCTTAAGTGCTGGGATGACTGATGTGTTCCTCCAAGCTTGGCTCTGCTCTGTAAATTGATGATAGGGAAATCAAACCTATAGTTTATCACCAATACATCCTTCCTCGTGTGAGCTTTATTGGTTCTTTTATTCCTAGTCCCTTAGGCTATTGATTTGACATACACTTTCTTTTATCAACACTGATATCTTACAGCTGTAAATTTCCCTTTGAGCATTGCCCTCCATTATTCTATGTTTCTCTATATTGTCTTGATGTACTTTCTAAATTCCACTGGGATTATTTCGTGTTAATTAGGAATTAAATTTCCATGTACTTATAAATTTTCTAGCTTCACTTGCATTTCTGTTTTCTAGATTCATTCCATTGTGATTGGTAAAATCTCATTTATGAATTCTGTCTTTTTATATCTCTTGAGGGCTAGAGATGTAGCGCTGCGGTAGAGTGCCTGCCTAATGTGACAGTTTATCTTGCTTGTCAACTTGAAAGGATCTGTGAGGTGGTCTGAATGAGAATGGCCGCCATAGGCTCATAAGTTGTTGTTGTTTTTCTCTTTTGGGAGGCCCACCACCTAGCTCCCAAATAAATCTTTCAGAGACAAATTCTTTTTTTTTTTTTTTTTTTTTTTTTTTTTAAAGATTCATTTATTTATTTTGTATGTATGACCAGAAGAGGGCACCAGATCTCATTACAGATGGTTGTGAGCCACCATGTGGTTGCTGGGAGTTGAACTCAGGACCTCTGGAAGAGCAGTCAGTGCTCTTAACCTCTGAGCCATCTCTCCAGCCCCAGAGACAAATTCTTACTTATGAATGCCTGGCCTTAGCTTGGCTTAGTTTCTAGCCAGCTTTCCTTAACTTAAAATTAACCTATCTGTCTTTTGCCTCTGGGCTTTTTCTGTTCTCTTACTTCTGTAAATCTTACTCCGTTGCTGGTTGTGTAGCTGGGTGGCTAGCCCTTGATGTCCTCCTCCTTCTTTGGCTCCTTCTTTTCAATTCTCACTTTCCAGATTTGTCCTTCTATTTATACTCTCTGCCTGCCAGCCCCACCTATCCTTTCTCCCACCTCACTATTGGCCATTCAGCTTTTTATTAGATCATCAGGTGTGTTAGATAGGTACAATAACACAGATTCACAGTTAAACAAACACAATGTAAACAAAAGTAACACATCTTAAAATAATATTTTACTACATTCATATATTTGATTGCTTAGTCACCAGTGAAATTGTTTGAAAGGATGACAAGGATTAGGAGGTATGGCCTTGTTGGAGGAAATGTGTCACTGGGGGTGGGCTTTGAGGTTTCAAAAGCCCATGGGGTTGGGGATTTAGCTCAGTGGTAGAGCACTTGCCTGGCAAGCACAAGGCCCTGGGTTTGGTCCTCAGCTCTGAGAAACACAAAAAACGAAAACCCCACACCAGGCCCGGGCTCTCTCTTTCTGTCTCTGTCTTTCTTTCCCCCTCCCCCTCCCCCTTGGTTTGCAGATCAGGATTAGTTCTCAGCTAGTGCTCCAGCGTGTGCTGCCATGATGACTATGGACTAAACCTCTGAACTGTAAGCAAGACCCCAAGGAAATGCTTTCTTTATAAGAGTTGCCTTGGTCACGGTGTCTCTTCAGAGCAGTAGAATGGTGACGAAGACAGGCTGGAATCACCTAGGAGACACACCTCTGGGTATGCCTGTGAGGCTGTTTCCAGAGAGGATGGACTGATGGGGAAGACCTGCACTAAGAGCAAGTAGCACCACCGTGCAGACAGAAAGAGCTGAGGAAAGAGCAGGGTCCCCTGTCTGCTTGCCTTTGCTTCTTGCTTGTGGGTGTGTTTATCCTGCCATCCTCCACTGCCGTCAGAGTCCAGTGGCTTTGGGGTTTCAATGTGGACTGAAGACCCGTCACTGGAGCTTTCAGGCTTCCAGCACTGGATTGTGACTGCTGAGGTACCAGTTCAGAATGAGCAGCCGCTAAGCTGTCAGCCTCCCCAAGAGCCATCATTGGACTACCCAGTCTCTATCATGAAAGCCAATCTAATAAATTCCCTTTACACTAAATGCAATGCATATTCTATTGGTTCTGTTCCTCTAGAGAATCCTGTTTAATATACCTTGGAATCATGAGGCATTCAGTTCCCAACACCACACACACACACACACACACACACACACACACACACACACACACAGCTATTGAGACTTATTCTGTGACTAACCAATGCCCTCTCCTGGATAATGTTTCATCCACACATAAGGATAATGTACATTCTGCTCTTGCTGAGTCTGTTATGTATGTCAGTTAGATCAAGTTGGCTTATTGTTCAAGTTCTCTATTTCCTTATTGATCTTTAAAAGTGTACTATTAGTTGGGTGTGATGGTACACACTTTTTTTTTTTTTTTTTTTAGGTTTTCCGAGACAGGGTTTCTCTGTGTAGCTTTGCGCCTTTCCTGGACCTCTCTCTAGGCCAGGCTGGCCTTGAACTCACAAAGATCCGCCTGCCTCTGCCTCCCGAGTGCTGGGATTAAAGGCGTGCGCCACCACCGCCCGGCTGATGGTACACACTTTTAATGCCAGCACTCAGGAGGCAGAGGTAGGCAGATCTCTGTGAGT